CGACAAAGTGCAGATATAAATTTAAGTACATATTCGAATATTTATGTGTACGTGTATTGTATTTATTTAATTGATATTGGAATAGTGCAGTAATGAGTGGCAGCACGTTCTATAATAAGTTTACAGTGCAGATGCTTTTCAGCATATCAAGCATGTCACGTCAGTGATTCCTCACCTTTAGCTTTTAGTTATATTTTATGTTTTATTATTTCAGTATTTTAATTTTAATTTGTTTTCTTTTATCATTAATTATTTCAGCTCAAATTCTTTTTTGTTAGGTCTAATATCGTATCTGACTACTCTATTTAGTTTTATTTAGCTTGAGTTCTCTATAGTATTAATTTTTTTGTTTTCTTTTCTCGAACTCAGAGATTAGACTCAGAACTAGCGACAACAAATTTTCCACACACATGCTTTATAAGTATGAACGATTTACAATTTTTTCTCCTTCTTCCCACTTTCCCGTTGTTAGTGATTTCCCATTATTCCTGTAATTGATGAATTTTTTGTTTAGTTATGATGTGTCCGAATGTCAAGTTTCATCGTGATAAGCCAATTTGAAAAGAAGTTACACACGTTGAAAATCACAGCTGCGAATAGACACACAATTTTATTGCAAATTTGTTTATAGTTTCTTTATTGTTATAATTTTGAGAATTATTTAAAAGTAGTATACAATTATTTTACACATAGGTATAAAGTATTTCAACGTCGGGGAATCGATTATATTCTACATGTTTGCCATTCCATTTCAATTTGATAAACTGTCTCAAATAAAACTAACCTAGTTCTTAACTTTACAAAAGTTTTTTTATCCTCAAACAAGAACACAATCATTTGAAAATAAATATGTTAGAGCTCCACATGAAAAGGCAGCTCTAAGAGATGTATAAATACATATTTTTGGTGGTGTGTATGCGTTCTTTCAACATCTCGTACTATCTTGAAGTTAAATTACAGCTTCATGCCTCCCATTTGTGCTCTTCTGTTTTTGAATAGGTTGTGTTCTTTTATTATTTTTTTTTGCAGCTTGTTACCACTTGAGCACGTTAAATGCTCGAACGCCCTGCTCAGCTCACCGCCCCCCTCTCCCTTACTAACAGCAGCTCGGTTGATGCTCATTTTGGTTGCACGTCTTTTGCAGACACTTAATGTTGTGTCTCTGCTTGCCTCATTGTTGAACGCCTTGCCTAAAAACAATGCAGTCCCATGCATATGAGACCATCTAGAATGGGACGAGACTGTTGAAGAGCAGTGCTAGGGAGCGGAGCGGAGGGATGGGATGGGATGGGATGGGAAGGGAAAGAGGAACAACGATTCCAGACCAGAGACAAGCGAATTTCAGCACGGAAGCGGAAGTCATTGTTGTCGCACAATGGCGAACGCGTCGCAATTATAATAATTTTGATTGCATACCCCCCAGCAGGAGGGGCTCTTGTTACTGTTGGTGTTGTTGTTGTTGTTGTTGCTACTTGTATGAATTATGCAGCTAGCTACCCATGCAGCAAGCCGCCAGCGACAGTTGAAAGCACGAGAGATAGACTTTTGCACGTGTGTGCACGCGAATTGTCTGCCAGCGGGGTACAATTTTTATTAGTGTCTCTTTTTTTTTTTTTCTTTGTTGACTCCCTGTGTCTCGTTTTTTATACGTTTTTTAATTACGCTCCGCGTGGTGCTTAAACCCTCAGGCTGTTGAAGCTGCCTTTTTTATGCGGATAATAGGTATGAGCTGATTAGCGATGCGGCAAAGCTATGACGAACAAAAACTGAAGTCATTCATATCTCTGATTAGTGGCAGATAGGAGGCATATGGGCTAGACGTTTTGATTTTTGTCTGCTATTCACGGTTCAATTGTAAACAGATTTTTTTTGTACAAATTGCCCCGAATGTATATGAGAGCTATAATGGTGCTTAAAATAGTAAAAAGTTGACCATTGAGACTTAGTTTTGAATAATAATTATTGAAAATGCGCCGCATTTACTTAAAAAATGTCAAAATGAAAATAAAGAATATTCGGTGAAATAGAAAGTATGCAGCTGAAATATTTATATATGTTGATTTATTTGGCGTTTAGTATCTCTGGGAAATACAGACACAAATAAATAAGATCTTACTTCCACACAGCCATGTGACACCAATATATTGGTGCTTAGAAGAAAAGCTCTGCTCCTCAAACAATTTGTACTTTTTTTAACACTTAATCCCAATCGAACTCTTTCTTAGAAGGAATCACTGACTACCACGGCTGGGAGTTAGGGCATCTGGTCAAAGACTCTTTCACGAATTAGTCTATATGCAATTTTGGTTGATCATATTCTTTTTCCGTTCTTTCAAAATTTGTTACTACAATTTCTTTTCTTTTGTATAATTCCTCTGTTAGTTCGAATTACAACTCTGACTACCTTGTGTTATAAATCGGGATATAGCTAAGTTAATTGTGATCGGATAGAATTCTATGGTTGTGTATTATTCTTATAAAGACTTTTTGTGCAACAAATAAAGCTTCATTTTTTAAAATAAAGCTTTTTTGTTTTGAAAAGCACATTTTATTTCCATTATTATTGGAGATCCAGTACCAGAATTTCTACAACTATAGACCATAGTATTTGCCCTTCGAGCTTGTAGGCATTTACTTCTGTAAATCTTTGCTCTATTATTTTATGATCCCAACAGTTGTATCATTTTTTCATTTCCGTCAAGATACTGCCCACACCTAACATATTTTTAAATACGTTCTTCAATTTCCATACTAACTTGCGATTAAAACTATATTCCATTGTAAACTAAACTACTTATTTGTAAAGTCAATGAATGAAAACGCTTATAAATTAATGAGGAAACGTGTAGGAAAACGTGCCCTCAAAGCAAGCAATTTAAAACTAATTAGTTGTAGCTGCAGCCACGCATGCATCCATACACCTAAGAACCAAATAACTAATTAAACGCCACAAGCGAGAGAAAAAGAAATCAACACACCCCAGCACTTAAAGCTGTAATTCAATGGCCCCCGCTCTTGGCTTCCCTTCCACCTGTTTTGTGGTCACTTAATTACACAAATTATTTTCCACAAAGAACTTCAGCTTCAGTGCACTTGAAGAAAGCTTCACAGCATACGAGTGCTCCCAAAAACAAAGCCATACATTCACTTACTGAGTGTGTGTTGGCTTTGTATGTGTGTGTGTGTGTATGTGTGTGTGGATGTTGGTTTTTAAGCTCTTTGCATAATTTTACAACTGATTTGCCATCCCGCTGACCACCAAACTAGTCCCTCGTTTGGCTAGCAGCAGTCTAAAATAATTTTCTTGAAAGCCACTGCTCCGCAAATGGCTTTGATTTGACTAAGTAAACGGTTGAATAGGACGCAGGGAAAAGTAAGAGGAGAGTCGAGGAAGGACGGAGTGAGAGCCGCAAATGAAAAAGCCAAGAAAATTGCTTACTTTGGCAGAATGACGACGACTATCATTTGCTTTTAATTTGACTCGAGGGCGTAATTAAAGAAAAATGCAAAAAGCACTTTGATTGTCCAGCCAAAGGCAAACAAAGCATCAGAAAATGCAAAGTAATGCGAGAATAAAACCCATTGAATTAGAGAGTAAAATAATTGTCTCTCTGTCTGTTTGTTGTAGTTGTGCTTGTGTGTGTGTGGAAATCTTTTAAACGAGCAGCTTAAGGCCAATGTGCCTGTGCTAAAGTTGCCAGCAGGTTATAAAATCATAACACATAAATTAAAATGTAGCATATACTATTATTTCACCGGAAAACGGCGGGAAAATGCATTCGATTTGTAAATAAGGACCATTTTGAATGAAGTGAATGTTTTGTAATCATTCAGCCAGCATTACTTAGACTGACTGATATTCATAAAAAATGTGTTCCTTTCTCCTTCTTAAAATTTCTAGTCGAACATATGTATCGTGAGCATAAATATAAAAACAGAGGATGAAAAATGCTCTTTGATAATACTGATGAATACAGATGAATCATTAAGTGATAGCTACAGAATAACTACGAATCATTAAATGAGCCTCCGTTGAGTGAGCAGTTCTAACTTATATTCATAGATACTATTCTGTATAATTCTGAACAAATCTAATTACCCCCATTTTGAATAAATTGGTTGTATTCAGTGATGTCTTCTATTTGGAATTGTTTAAAATGTTAAAATATAGTTACATATACTGTTTGTACGGTTGCCTTTAAGCTTGTCTCTAGGGAGTCAAGAATAGAAATTTGTAATAAACTTCCAAATGTTTTGAGGGATAAGCAGTCTTCTGTAATTTATCACTGATTGCTGATACTTATGTACAATGTGAACTCGTGTATTTAAATGGACATTCTTAACATTTTAGTTTTGGGATGGATGGAAACTAATTAACTAAACTAATTATTTGAACTTAATGAAAGAATAGCACAAGTATAAGCATGCAACCAATTTCTTTAAATTAGTAAAAGTGTTTATAGTGCAACGAAAATTACTCTTTCCTCCATGCTATATACTCCAAACAATTGCTTATATACTGAATTTGTATGCATATGTAATATGTGGAAGAGCGAAGTGGGGCAGCAGTAACTTTTACTGCTGACTTAGCTCTAGAGACTGCAGCAGCAGCAGTAAAAAGTGCCAAAAAAATGTGTTAGCAAGTCTGAAGAAGCACCAGACGAAGTTATGCAAAGTCAGCTGCCGGCATTGACATGTAAGGGTATGCGGTTGGATGTGTGGAAGTATGTACTGCCGTGTGATTCAATTTGCAATTTTTCCATTGCACACACGCACACACTCATATGAATTTACATGCATATGCAAATTGTGTTTTCTAGTAAAACGCAAAGTCAAATTGCCATATTTCATCTATGACTTTTATGAGTTTTTCTTTTATTTTAAAGATTTTTGTTTTTCTCGGCGCACTGCCAAACTTTATGAACTTTAACAGGACAGAACATTGTATTTTGCGAACATTTCGTTGGACTTGCTTAAAGTACATTGCTTTAGCTTGGGTTTCATGAGAGATTCGAACCAATATCACCCACACAGTTTAGGAAATAATTTTTGGTCATGTTGCACTCTTTGCTGTTCACAAAGAATTCTCTTGGGCAATTCTGCATCGCAAATATACGCATACAGATGGTTATTTGCAGGGCGAAGGGATTGCATGGCTGTTCGATGAACTCAACGTCCGGTAAATGTAGCGTGAAGCGCGAGGCATGATGTTGCCCTGCAATTTAAGTAACGAAAAGGAAGTGTTAAAGATTCTGGAGAAATGGGTCTCGAAGAACTTACGAAACTTTTCGCACTTAGAGTAGGTTTCGGTCATAAACTTAACCGATTTCGTTTTTGGCTCCGGCATTATTATCTGTAAATTTTCCTCTATGCGCACCGGGTCCAGACGATATGGTGGATCAATGTCGATATAGCCAGATGCAATATAGTTGCACTCTTCAATGCACTAGCAAGGGTTAATTTTGTATACAATGTCAATGACTTTCCAATGATCAACAGCAAGGGATTTTTAAGACAATGAAAAATATTCAACATATATCGAGCTTTTAAGAGCGATATTTGTAAATTTGTGGATGATAATTTATTTTTGCCAACTGTTCTCTATTTTTATGAATATGAAATAAGAGTTAATGTAGCGAAAACGTAAATATTTACTCAGTTTTTTTTTTAAATTTTATTCATAAAATATGTGGAATTTGATAAGAAATCGGAGCTAAGTAGGGTTGAGTGATAAAGAGTCAAAATTGTGATTTCTAATTGTTTCAGTCAAATGAACGGAAATATAAGAATATATTGATTTTGATTGATTGTTTGTTTTAAGTTTTTCAAGAAGATTAGATTTAAAGGTATACATGTATGAATAAATCTGAACAAATGTACACATAACAAATCAATACTTCATGCTATATAAAATATATTTTATGGCTGTCGATTGACGGCAAAATATAAAACATCCTTGAGAATGTTAAATCCTTTACCCGACTATGTGCACAGCTGACATAAATGGAATAAACTTCGCTGTAATTCCATAAAAATAAAACCTTACTTGATTCTAAATAAATGGTTTTTGTAGTTGTTTTGTTTTAAATAAATAGATTGTGCTGATTTTTAGCTGAGTGTGGCATTGCTCTAAGAGTAACAATATCTGAAGTTTCAGAAATATGTGTATGTTCGTGGAAATACTCTACGAAATAGCAGCCTACTTAGCCTTACCATGTTGATTGTATAGCGCTCGGCGAAATTGAATTTACGTTTTGGTAAATTAAGCGAGGAGCGACATTCGGCATTGCCCTTATCTAGACTGGGCCGGGTTAGTTCACAACAACTCTGGGCCAAATGCTGTTAGAGAGCTTTAAGTCTTATGTGTAACTCAAAGAGGGGGGAGATCTACTTACTGTGGCCAGTTTCTGCTGCTCTGCGCACTGTTTGACTAAATCAGCGTTGCTCACACAACACTATGTAACAATAAATAAATGAACAGTTTACTGATTGCTTTCAGTTTCGAGTTCAGTACTTACTAGCGTCAGCATGAGAAGTCCATTCAGATATTTTCCAATCATGTTGTTATATGTATGCTGAATGACAGGTTACGCTGATGTGGTTTCATCTGGTCATGTACTCGTACATTTCTATATACTAGGTCATACATTTAATTGAATTAGCCAAACGTCAGCATGGTCGTGGTCGTGGTCGTGTTGGTTGTCACATCAAATGAGCCGCACGCTTGACATTTGATTTGTTATTTTGTGATGCTCATTTCATGCTCGCTGCGCAGACACTTTGGCATTTTCACTTTTGACAATTAAAATAAATTAAATCATTAGGGCGAGCAATTAGCAGCGGAGCCAACGGGTGAACTACTAGCTGTAGAAATGAATGACTAACTGATGGACTGACTGGCCGAGCGACAAGTTGACTGCCGAACTGAAAGTTGCCTGTGGCAACATTTTAATTGGCTAACATTTGTAGTGGCCACGCAACTCATTAAATTACGCCAGCATTTGTCTCTCTGCCCTTCTCCTCAGCTCTGCAGTCTCCCCATCAAGGCTCTAATTTATGGGCTCTTCATCACAAAGACACCTTCTGCAGCTCAGCTTTATGAAGAAAAAAAAGTGCAACCCTATATGAGCAGCAAGTAGGCGATGCGAAAGAGGATGTCTATAATTTTAGCTGCCAATGTTGCACAGTGGAACCAAAATTCAATGGCTGATATTTTATAAAATCAACAATAGAGATTTTCTATGAATATTTAAAGAGTGACCAAACAATTTCTGCCCGAGCACACATTATATTTGAAGGCAGTGATATTTAATGAATATTATTCTTGTAAAAATATTGTATTTAACACTTTGTGTATTTAACATTTTGCAACAAATAAGGCTTTGTTAAAAGAAAAGAAAACAACATCGACAATTATTCTATAATTAAATCTCATTCTGATTTACTCTAGTAATTAACACCTTCAGCATCTCTTTGATTGATTGTAATATTGTCTTATTCAAATTTATAATTTAAGGCAACATTTTATTTTAAATTTATTTTGGCGAAGCAAGAATTAATTGATTTCTAATTTGCTGATCAGCATTTTCTGAGTCATTGTGAGTTGTGGAAGTTGGATATTCTAACTTAAGTAAGCATTATATTTTTAGTTGTGCTTTTATCTCTGCGGTTAATATTGAAACTTCATTTGAAATCATTGCTCTAAAGTGTTCCACATTCATTAGGGAGGAACATAACTCAAGTACGACTTACTAAATCTATATTAGTTTATCAACTATTAGTTTTGTTCTAACCAAATCTCAATGCCTGAAGCAATGTGCGACTAAGTTGGAACATTGTAGGTGGGCAAGAAACTGTCATTGCTATTGACGTTGCCTGTGTTCGTTCTCTCTCTCTCTCTCTCTCTTCTCTCTCTCTCTCTCTCTCTCTCTCTCTCTCTCTCTCTCTCTGGCGTTTTTAATGATGTCGCTGTGAGTTTTTTGCTTATTGCTAAACGCGTGGGTGCCGGCGCTATTGACGCCTGCTCTAATTTCTGTTGATGCCAACGTCTCTATAGCTTCCAAGGCCCCTTTGCTGCATAGGAATTAAAAGGGCGTCTCTTTTGGCGCCGTTGTTGTCTCTAATGAAGCTGCTGCTGCTTCGAACAAACCTGCCTGCCGCCTTCCCTTCGTCGTCGTCATGATTAATTACGTTGACACGCAAACGTCACAACTTTACCTAGAGTTTCGCCCCCGCCCGCCTGTCTGCCACGCGAGGGTCTCAAGGTCAGTCATTGAGCAGTCAAATGCCATGGAGCTCACGATAATAAATTGTTTGGCGTTGTTAACTAAATTTTGATTACAAGCCGGCAAAGGGCGGTGCGCTGCGGCGAGAGCGACTCTGAGGCACAGGGCAACACTTTTTCTTGATTTATTGATATGCTAATTGAGTGTTTGCACGTTGCCCTTTTTAATGGCTGAATTGCTGGTTACCGTTCGTCCACCCCTATGATGGGGGCTGCAGATATGTATATATGTATATATACATATGTGTATGTGTGTGTGTGTGTGCCCGTGTGGGTGTTTGAGTGGCCACTGGCTCGAAATTATGAGCCATGGCACGCAATTTGCATGGCAAGTGTTGTTGAAATTAATTGTAAATGGTTGTAATTTGCTGTTGCCGTTGCTGATGTTGATGTTAGCTTTGTTCTTGTTTTTTGTTAATGTTACTGCTACTGCTACTGTTACTGTTCGCTTTTTGCAGTTTAATTGCGGCATACGCGCGGCAGGCTTAATTAATTTATAGCGTTTATAGCGAGGGGCGCCTAGCTTCGGTATGTAAATATACGTCATTTGCAGTTGAAGCGTGTTTAACGTGACGTATGAGTGATTTAGGTTGTTGAGGCGCAAGTGATGGAGCGTTCCTTTACTAAGTTTGAAGTCCTAGACAGTTGCATGCTTTAATTGGAAAACGCTGTGTATTTGAATACACTAATGAGCCAGACAAATGGCAATATTTTGCAGATATACGCGTACCATTTGTGTCTAATAAATCAAATTATTAACAGAAAAGTGAAGGAAATAACTCAGAGTTTAAGGTGAGATTGTTATCAAGCAAATGATATTATAGCTGATGGCCTCCAGAGCATGAAATATAATGAAATTTCCGAAACATGTTTGCTCCTTCCGTTTCAATTGATGGTTTAATCCTTCTATTTATTTAAGGCCATCAGTTACAGTAGTCGCTGGATGCCACTAACAATTTCAATTTATTTTAACAAACATTTCATTTCTTGGTATCAATGGATTGCTAGGTTTATTTAAAATAATTTGACCATCTATAATTCCATTGATAAAATATTAAATTGGCTCCACTTGGTTGATCCAAAACTTTTATTTCAGCCAGAAATTATGCGGCTTCCTAATATCTTCAAAAACAACGTGAAACAAACATTTTGTTCGATATTCTCTTAAAAAAGAGATTATTTCTGAAGTGTTTTGATTGCAGCTACTATACATATTCATTATGTAATAACATGAGTCCCCACATCCAGCCGTTGAAAGAAGTGCACATTTGTCTTTTTGTTCTAAGATGTTCGAAAACTTTTTTTATACCAAATATATATATTTAGATTCATGAGATTATATTAGATTATTTATTCATATTTTTAGATATTTTTAAAACACACAAAATAGTACCGAATAGTTGAGATAAGTTTAATTAAAGTTATAAATAGAACAGTATAATTAAAAAAAAAAATAGTTGAGCTTTTGTTGTGTCTTCTTAATTAAAATATGTTTTTATTTCTGTACAGTTCATAGCAAAAAATTTTCTTAGCTACAAGAACAGTTCACCTAATGTGTGTAATCCTTTAAACAATATAATATTTCCAAAGTTAACTGAAATATTATATTTGTAATATTAAATAATGACATTACGTAACTTATTTTGGCTTTCAAATAAATAATAAAGAAGATGGTGATACTAGCCTACAATCTAGTACAATAAACAATTATAAATGGTTGAAATTTTGTTTAATTCTCTCTTGTTTCGATTTAGTTTAGCAATCGAAACGATTTTTCAATCCGGTACAATAATAACAAAAACTTGACGACATGGTTGCATTACAAGCTACAAGAAGTGTTGTCCTTTTATGATTACTTTCTAAAAGAAGTGCTTAAAGAGAGGGTGTTATGTAATATGAACAGTTTTCACTTATTTCCCCCATAATTACTTAATTGTTATGTCTGGTACTAATTGAATGAAGTGAAATATGACCTTAAGTAAATAGAAACTTGGAGATTGGTTTTGGTGCGTATTGTTTCAGGACTTCTTGATTACATTAATTGTGTTATCGTCAAGTTCTGGCGCTTAACAAACACTCACAGAGGCTGAGCAATGTCAATGCCGACTGTTAACCTTTAAGAAAATTAAGGACTACTTCTTATACTACATATGTATGTATGTACACATATAGTATGTACATTTGATTCTTGCTGCATGTCTGTACGCTGTCTAAGCGAGCAAACCGCAGACACAAGCAAGCCACAGGCAAAGTTTCATTCATTTCATTTCAGCTTTTCATCATTCATTTCAGCGAGCTCGTATAAAACTGTTTATCAGGCATACTACGCTTAATGCTCGGAAAGCCGCTTACATCAAATACTTGTAATATTGTTCAAGTGTTGTCTGCTTGTGAGTGTAAGACCGGCACTTGGCTCATCAACAGCCAAATTCGTGGAAAAATATCATCCTAAATTTGATTGCGCCGCGTGTTGCTTACTTTTGGCTTTTGGAACGCCCACAAACATATACACACACACACACACACACACACACATACACACATACACACATATTTGCGCACACATACATATTTTCATTTACACACTCTGGCCATATTCACTGAAATGTTTTTGTCGTTGTTGTTGTTTTTGCAGCTGCTTAGCTGTTCTGGGGATGCTTGTATAATTACTTAAATACAAGTGGGAATTTTTCGGCTTCAGTTGGATTTTTTCCCGCCTAGTTAGTAGTAGTAGTAGCAGTTGTTGTTGTGGTTGTTGTTGTTGTTGCTGTTGGCTCGCTTCCCTATTTAATGAAATTATTTGTGATTAAGTTTGCGCTGCGCTGCCTGAGAGCTTACACATTTCCTGACTGCCGCGTGCCGCCACAAATGAGAGTCGCTGACGGCGGCTCTGTGGCAGATGCCGTTAGTTTGGCACGCAATTTAATTATATTTACTTGATTTTTTCTTCTTTTTTTCGCTCCGTTTTTGCCAGCTCTGTTTTATGGCGTTGGGGATAAGTCTTATGCGTTAGTGTGTGTTTGCATATATATATTTATGTGTGTGTGTGTGCGTATGTGGTTGTGTGAACTGCCGAAAATTAGTAGGAAATTGTTAATGCGATAACAGATTTTCACAGAGATTATATATAAAGTTATGCGCGGTTGCTTGGAACTCGAATGCGTGCTTTAGCAGGAGAATAAAAAGCATTGCCTACTTTACGGCGCATCAATGAGATTTTCCTTGAGAGCCAAGCGTATTTTATGATGATTTAATTGATGCTAATGCGGAGGAAGT